TCTAGAGCAGCTTGTGGCACGCAGTGATGTCAGAGATCAGCATCACCAAGTCTGCTTACAGTAAAAGCAGAAGATTGAGGAATAGATATGGTCCGGACCAGGCCAAGAAGACGTCCAAATTCCGAGTGAAGACGACTCTCCTAGAGCCCCTCCCCTAGTCACCCTTCAGGCCTGGAATCGAAGTCATTCTAGGGCTTCCAGCCCAACAACAGACAGGCATAGTGGGTGAACGTTTACATCAGGTAGATACACGATCAATCAGTCGTGGGAGAGAAGAAGGGCAGTGTCTGCACAGGGAGAGAGCTGTGGGGAGGGGGGACAGGAATGCAGAGGAGAGGATGCAGGGAAGGGGTAACTGTAGGGAGCAAGTGGGAAGAGAGCTGTTCCATTGTGGGTAAATGCAGTCAGTATTATGAGAAAAAATGTGTATGAACTGCTGTATGGAAAATGACTGTTCTCTGTAAACTGTGACCCAAATCACAATAAAAATTTTCAAAAAGGTAAACAAACAAACAAACAAAACAGAGGGCCGCTCTGCCCGACAATGAGGAATAAAACATTTTTGTACAGTTGGAGCAGGAAGTAAAAGTCACGAAATCCTAACTGGCTGAAAGGCAGGGGAATCGAAGGTGGGGTATCTCACAGCGGGGACTTAGCAGGGACAGGTGGATGACGTACCTGTGGGGTTACATGGTTGGTTAAGGGGACATGATTGCCAGCACACATGCTCTTCAGTTTATTACAGGGTGGTCACTGGACAGTGACAGGACAGGCTTTTCAGGTAAACCGCTATAACAATTTCTCAATCATGTCTGTTTCTGGGGGTCCACTGTCAAGGTTTGTGGTAAAATTGTGCATCGAGACCCTTTGGGTGTAAGCTACCACATCTTGCATGTGTTTGAGATGGAAAGACCCTCTAGGATTGGAATGTAATACCCCGCACCTGCCAGACCTCAGAGCAAAGGAAGGTCTCCTGTAGGGTGTATGGTTAGGTCAGCGTCAAGGTCACTTTAGCATCAAGATTAGAAGAAGTGCTGTTAGAAAACGCAGCTTTAAAATCCAACATGGGTTCTAGACTAGTTACACCTCTGCTTTCAGACTGCTCTAGTCACAGGCACCAACCCAAACTCACGGCCATAGTGTTGAGCCGCACACACTGCGGCCCCGTTGGGTTTCCATAGCTATAACCCTTTACAGAAGGAGCTCTGGTGGTGCAGTGCCTAAGGCATCTGACTGCTAACCAGAAGGTTGGCAGTTCAAACCCACCAGCCACTCCGTGGAAGGATGACCAGGCAATCTACTTCTGTAAAGGTTTACCGCCTCAGAAACCCAATGGGGGTCGCTATGAGTCAGAACTGACTCAATGGCAGTGGGCTTTTTGGTATTTATGGAAGCAGACTGCCTCATCTTTCTTCCACGGAGTGGCTTGTGGATTAGTATCACCGACCTTTATGTTAGCAGCTGTGGTGGTTATGTTTGTGTGTCAACTTGGCTGGGCCTGTTGAGTGGCTGGGCAGCTGGTGGTAGTTATTCCCCAGGATGAGACTAGCAATCAGCTCATGGTGGGATCTACCATAAGCAGCTGAGTAGCTGCTTTGGGTATGTGGTCTGCTTCCTGTATATAAGGAGAAGCCTTGGGAATAGTCTCTGGCCTATGGCACGCTTGGACTCTGCATGTAGCCGTGTGATTGTTTAGCAGCCTGCTATTCTCTGCTGACCTTGGGACTTACAATGGACTTAAATTAATGGCCTCCCATGTGGTTTGGTAACATCAGGACTGTGCCTTTTTTACTTGACCTTGGGCTTGTTAGCCTCAGCAGCCAACAGCTGTCTGAGTGAAGAAACGCCTCTAGCTCCAGTGGGCTGGGAGCAGGAGGCAGAGCTGGAGTCCAAGGTCGAGGGGCTTTCACCCAGCCCCTAGAGCCTGGCAATTTGAACTCGGACTTCTAGCCTCCCAAACTGTAAGAGAATAAACTCCTGTTTGTTCAAGCCTCCCATTTGTGGTATATATTCCTGTCAGAGCGACACTAGGGAACCAGAACAGCAGCCAAATGTCCTAACCACTCCACCACCAGAGAGCCTTGTACAAAACCAGGTGCCTCTCATTTGAAGCTCTCATCCAGTAAGCGCTGTTAGCAATTGTTATTCCTCTATTTGTGTCTGCAACTGCTTCCCCTCAGTCCCTAGCTTTCTACCCGGCTTATAGCTCTTTGTACACTTCCACATCTCGCGGTCTCCCTCTGGTTTCTCTCCGGGCTGCGGTCTTTTCCGTTCTCTTTGTTTCCCTGTCTTCAGGCCCTCCCAGCCTTTACCTCCCAGCCGGTCTCCAGGAAACAGTTTTCTCCCGCCGCAGCCGAGGGGGAAGGGTGGACTCCTACGGCTCCGCGTTTTCCCTCTCGGCAGCCAGACCCTCCCTCCCTCCCCAGTCCTGAGGGGCCGTCCTCCTCCGCTTAAAGCAGCCAAGACGGGTTTAAATCTATTATAATTTATTAGGAAACGATACAAAAAGCCCAGAAAAGGGCGCGTCATTGGGTAAGTACTGTGAGTGAAATGAGGGCACACCCCTTCTCCCCCTCGTCTTTCTCGGCTTCTGGGGGCGCACACCCGGTAAAGATAGGAGGGGTGGGTGATGGGCAATGGAAGGCAGAGGGTGCGGGGAAGAGAGTGGCACAGCGAAAGGGATGGGGGCAGGCAGCAGCACAAAAAGAAAGTCGGTGCAACCCCGAGGGGCGAGCTCGGCGCGGGTGCAGGCGAATCTGGAAGGGCCCGGGCAAGGGCGTTAGCGCGCGCGCACGCGCAACTGAAAGGGCCGCGGCAAGTTGCCGAGACCCGAACTGAGCGGGGTCAGGTCGATGCTCTCGGGCGCCACCAGCGGGTGCAGCGAGAAGGTCTGCAGGATGGCGGTGAGGTAGAGGAAGAGCTCCATGCGCGCCAGCGACTCGCCCAGGCACAGCCGGCGCCCTGCGGGGGCGAGGAGCAGAGATGAGAGGGTTTAGGAAAAAGGGGATCCCCGTCGAATTCCCGGAGAAAACCTAGGAGAATACGGTTGGGGACGTCACAGACCCACCCACCTAAAGATCTGGGGAGGATGCTTTAAATAAAACGTGGAGCCGAATGACCTGATACCAGTGTGACTGACTGGTTTCGAATCCTGGTTCTGCCACTCTAGTTTCTGGCTGTTTAAAACAGGAGTGATGATAATATATCATGAAGTGGTCGTTAGGTGCCGTGGAGTCATGACGAGTCTGATTCAAAGCGACCCTGTAGGACAGTCAACTGCCCCTTAGGGTTTCCTACGCTGTAATCTGTCTGAGAGCCTATCTCCAGATCTGTCCCGCAGAGCGGATGGTGGGTTCAAGCCAATGACCTTCCAGTTGGCAGCTGAACACTTAACCACTGCTCCACCAGGGCGCCTCGCAGTATGGCTAAACCAAAAATACTGGTTACCTATTATCTCCCCCCCTCCTTGAGAAAACTGGGACAATTTTTTTTCAAAGCCAGGTCCAGATCAAAGCCAAGAAGTAAAACCACTTCAACTGCGCCACCTAGTGGAGAGACTGGCCGTGACCTGCCTCTCCCACCTCCCTCCGCAGGATTTTAGTCATTGTCTGCCTAGAGGAACAGAGTTGAGAGGGGAGATTAAGTGGGATGAGAAAGAAGGGTGTGGGGAGTGGAATTGGAACTAGGGGATGTAGGTAGAAATATGAGCCCCAGACATTCTGACTCCCACTCCCACCGCCCTTACCGGCTGAGAAGGGCATGAAGGCAGGGCTCTTCTTGAAGGACCGATTTGCATCCAGAAAATGGTCGGGATTGAACTTCTGTGGCGTCAGGAACTGGCTGGGATCGTAGTGGACGGTGTTAAGGAGGGTGATCACATCCGTGCCCTGGGTGTGGCGGAGGTAGGGATTAGTGGTGTAGCAGGGCTGGGGGGCGGCCTGGGATTCCATAGCGTTCGGGTCCTGGGGACTTGGATATGGCGGATGGGGCGTGAGACATGATCAGGGATCCAGGAAGTGTGTGGAGAAGTCTGAGGTTCCAAGTAATGGGTGCTGGAAGCTGTGTGGCCGGTCTGAGGAGACAGGTGCGCGGGCACCCCCTCTAGGGGACGATTTGGGGTTTCTGGGAAATGGAGAGGTTTCTGAGAACAGTGTCCGGGCACAGGGCATCCTCAGTATCAAGTCCCAGGCTCTGGGGATTTCGAAGACAGGTCCTAGGAAGGGGACCTGTCATGGGGATAGAATTGGGTTTAGAATGGGATCCAGTGCATTGCGGTGCGAGGAGTCAGGGGAAGGGCCTGAGATTTTGTTTTCAAGGGCCTCGGATGCCTGTGGTTAGGTCTTGAGATGCTTGTTAAAGATTGTCAGGGTGCGGTATCCCGGTTGCTAGAGACGCGAGCCCGGTTGCTAGAGATGCTAGGACCGGGGATGCTTCTCCGTATTTTTGCGCTGTGCCCAGCGCACCTTGGGTAGCAGAAAGCCGCGGAAGACAGTGTCCCGAATGACGCGGTGCGGCAAGTTCATGGGGATAACGTCGGCGAAGCGCTGCACCTCGTGGATCACGGCGTCAGTGTAGGGCATGGCCGCGCGGTCGTCCAGCGACGGCAGCCGGGCGCGCCCCACCACGCGGTCGATCTCCTCCTGTACGCGCGCTGCGGGAGCGAGAAGCATAGCCAGGACTTGAGCGGGGGCGGCTGAGCCGGGAAGAGGGTGTGTGTGCTGTGTGTAATGCAGTCAACGCCTCCCAGCGGAACGGGCCACACTTCAGGGGCGCGTGAGGGTTCGCGAGACTCGGAAGGAGGGAGCTGGCCGGCATGAGTGGGTGGTTCAGAGACAGAGTGGAGGCGAATGGCAGGTTGGGGCGCGGGTTCTGAGGGTCTGGGCTTTGGGGCTAGCTGGAGGCCAAGGCCCCTGATGAAATTGTGCAGGGGGTTTTAGAGGAGGGGGAGGGTGCTGGAGGTCAGAGGCGGGGCAGGTGGCGTGGGCCCAGTCCGACAAAGGACGATATCCTTGAGGATAGGGTCCAGGGATAGAACGAGAGGCGGGCTTTGGAGAGGTGGGGACGCGGACAGCGCTGTGTGGGACGGTTAGACTGTATAGAAGGCGTCGGAACTGGACTCCTGCGCAGGCCCTGCTGCAGGGCTTTGGGAATGGGCTCCGAGGCGTAACACGTGCTGTACGGGCAGGGTCCGAGGTGGGCCGTAAAGCAAGCTCATGCGGGAGGCGTCTGGGCAGCTGGGAGGGCCATATGGGTGCGGTTGGCCCCCGTGTGCAGAAGTAGCTGTCAGCGTAGCTGTGCGACCCAGGAGCGCGGCCGTAGCTCCTGGTTTGAGGGCAGGGCTTAGAGGCGCGAGGTTCCAGCGCGTGGGCCGCTCGGCCTGCCGGGCCAGGCCTGGGGCTCGCACCTTGCACTTCTGGGTACTTCATGAGCGCAAGGAAGGCGTGGCGTAGCGTGGTGCCCACCGTCTCGGTGCCGCCGAAGAGCAGGTTATGTGTGGTCATTAGCAGAGTATCCATGTAGAAGTGGCTCAGCGGGTCCTGCTTCTCCTGCGGGGGTGGAAGGATGGGGATAAGAACCAGGACCAAGAGACCCCCCGCACACTGTGACCTGGGCTCCGAGCCCGTGCGACCCGTTCCCTCTGCACCTGCCAGGTCAGTCCCGCCTCTTTTTAACTTCCTCCCCTTGGGGAAGCTGGAGAAGGAAGAAGGGCGCGTTGGAGGGGTGGGGATCTCAGCCTCAGGCCCACAGTTGGCATCTTGGACAGTTTTAACGACTTCTAATTAAGCTGGGAATTGTCAGTGGCTCCCAGTAGGTTCCAGGCTCCAGCTCAGGGGGGTCAGGTGTTCGGCTTCACCTCCTGGACCACCCCGGAGCCCGCCCATCCCGGGAACCCTGTTGGTTTGAAGCAGAGGTAGCAGAGAGGCTTCAGGTCAGACCAAGGGGGACTTCCCGGCTCGGCATACTTGTGTCATCTTGGTGAGGAAGCAATCGATGAAGTCCCGGGGAGAATTGGGGTCCAGAGATGCCTGGTGGTCTCGAACGCTGTTGGCGATGAGGTCCTTCACGCGCCCGTAATTCTCGAAGAGGCGTCGGTGCGGCCCGGGCACCCAGTCCAGGAGGCCCGGGAAGATGTTGTACATCTGGGGACCGAGCAGGGTCAGGGGACGTCAGAAGCAGGGGCGTGGGGGGCGAGTGGGTCAGGGTGGAGACGGTAGTCAGGGGGCGGGACAGTCTTGAATGGTAGCCAGGGGCGGGGCCAGGCAGGACCAATTCCAGCCCGCTGTTTCCTCCCTGCCCTCCCCTAGCCCAGCTCCCGACCAATCACGGCCTCCAGACCTCTCCCCAGGGGCTGCTCATGATTTGGAAGTTGTCGTTGATGAGATTGATAATGGTGAGCAGACGGTCATCATCGTAGTCGAAGCGGCTACCGAAGAGCACCGAGCAGATAATGTTGGACACCGAGCGGCTGAGCACAAACTTGGGGTCGAAAGGCTCGCCTGAAGGTGAGGGGCCGAGTGGGTCAGGCAGTGTAGGGATCCCAGGCAGGAACAACTCTGGTTTGCATAACATTCAGCCTAACCGTGCCAACAAGCTTGTGACACAAAACACAAGCACCTGGCCGTCCCACCCAAAACCAAAACAACAACAACAAAACAAATGCATTGCCTGGAGTCGATTCCGACTCATAGCGCCCCTAGAGGACATAGTAGAACTGCCCTAGAGCGCTTTCAAGGCTGTAAATCTTTCCCCAAGCACAGCCCAAATCTAACCCAACCCACTGCGGGCGAATTGACTCCGACTCACAGCGCCCCTAGAGGGCAGAGTGGAACTGCCCCATAGAGTTTCCAAGGCTACAGATCTTTACAGGAGCAGAGTGCCTCATCTTTCTCTTGTGGAGAGGCTGGTGGATTGCAACTGCCGACCTTTGGGTTCGCAGCCGAGAGCTTTAACCACTGCACAACCAGGGCTTCTTTGCAGCATCGCAACACCCCAAAAATATGTGTTAACGGAACAGGCGGCAGAAGGAGCCACAACACCTTGGGGCACGCCAACAGCAACACCAACGGAACACGGTTCTGGTCCACAGTTTCCCCTCCTGTAAACTGGGGCTTGTAACATGATGTTACACCTTAGGTTTGGGTGATATTTCAAGGATATATACAAAGTTCTTAGAACAGTGGTAGGGAGCATGTAAGTGTGGGTAGTTTTCATTAACTCCCCCACCCCCCACAGGGCAGCAGCTTTACCTCGGCTTGTATACCAGCTCTGCCACTTCCTGACTGTGTGGCCCTGGGCACATGACTTAACCTCTCTGGGCCTTAGCTACTTCACCTGTAATAGTACCCACTTCCTGTGATTGGAAGGAGCTCTGGTGGTGTAGTGGTTAAGGCATTTGGCTGCTAACCAGCAGATCAGTGGTTCAAACCCACCAGCCGCTTTGCAGAAGAAAGATGAAGCAGTCTGCTTTCATAAAGATTTACAGTCTTGGAAATCCAATGGGGATCTCTATGAGTTGGAATCGACTCAATGGCAGTGGATTTGGTTCTGGTTTTTTGGTTATGGTTGGAGGAGAAATGGTTAAGTGAAATGGTTAAAGCGTTCTGCTGCTAACCAAAAGGTCAGCTGTTTGAACGAACGAGCAGCTTTGAGGAGAAAAAGGAGGCAGTCTGCTTCCGCAAAGATTTACAGCCTTGGAAACCCTATGAGGCAGGTCTGCTCTGTCCTCTAGGGGTGCTGAAAGTTGGAATCAATTTGACAGCAGTGCGTTTGGTTTCTGGGAGGGTGAAATGAGTTAACAAACGTGAGGCATTTAGCATACTGCCTGGTATACAGCAAGTGCTTAATAAATGGCTATTAGTGTGTTGGGTGCAGAGTTTGGCATCAGTAGTTGAGGGTCTCCATTCTCACTCCTCCATTTATGAGCTGTGTTACTTCAGCCGGTCTTACCTCTTTTTGTCTTCATTTCCTCATCTGCAAATTGGATTATTCTGAGGTTTTAAGGGCGTATGTCTGCAAATATGCTTAGCACGGGGCCCAGCAGGCGGTAAGTTCTCAAGGACTTCATTATCATCATCATTTCCCACAATTACACAAGCTGTTCTCAAACTGCCACACAGTGATGGATGCTAGGGTGCCCACAGAGCTCCACCACATAACACATACAAGGAAACTTAGCACCACAAACTGATCCGCCTCCAGGAGGCAGGTGGGCTGAGTGAAGGCCCTCTGGGATTGCCAGTGCACACTCACGCTGTGGTTCCTGGCAGCTCTGACATTGAAGTAGGGTGCGCATGAACTAGAGGTAAAAATGCACTCGGGGACCCTGACCTTCAGTTTTCTGCAGCTCCGCCAGCAGGAAGGTGCCTTCCTCCAGGATCCTCTCCTCAATGCTCCTCTTCCCCATCCCGAAGTTCCGCAGAATCTGGACAGAGAATCTCCTGAGGGCTTTCCACCGCTCCCCATTGGAGAAGGCAATGCCTGGGGAGGAGAAGAGGGGGCAACTCAACCGACAATCTGTCCCCAACCACTGTCCTCTGAGTCCCTTTCCTGATACCTGCTGGGGGAGAGAGTGAAAGAGTGTAGAAAACCACCTCCAGGAAGCCCTCCTTGACTTTCCAGGCCGGGTTAGGTGACTCTTTTGAGTTTGCATAGGGCCCTGAGCTTCCACCACCACAGCACTGATCTTGGTGGGCTGTCAGGCTCTGGTGATGGGGCCACATCTCTCAGTGAATTGAGAGCTCCACGAAGGCAATCTTGGGACCCAATTGGTTGTCACTGTGTCCTTAACATTGGCCAGTGCAGGGCTGGGCATGCAAGAGGTTGGTGATTGCTAGTTGATTAAATCAATGTATGAATACATAATAAGCAAAACAAGTAAGGACTGGGGACTCGTCCAGGAATAAGACGGACCACGTTCTTTTCTCTTCTTGGACTCAGGGTCTTTGCACAGGTTGACTCTTCTGCCTAGAACACTTTCCGTTCCCTGTCTTCTCCTGACTAGTCATTTTCATCTTTCAGGTCTCAGCTCTCCAGGCTCCCTGTCCCGGCGCTGGCCCCTCTACCGGTGCCTCCCCTGTCCTGGCCCTGACCACTCTGGCCTGTCATAGTTGGTGAGGGGTTTCCATCTCCTCCTGGACTAGGAGCTAAAATAGGATAAGGTCTGAGGTGTGTTTGCCTCTGATTCCTCTGGGCCTAGAAGAACACTAGATGCTAGGGAGGCCGTTTGTCCAAGAGTATACAGCTAGTAAGTGGGCAACCTCTGCTGTTACCCTCTGTGCCGGACTGAAAAATTGCATAGTGGCTCTTTTTAGTAACAAATGATGTCTGTTTCCAAATGTTTTGGGAAAGTAGCAAGATGACCTTCCCAAGTGCTCTCTCTCTGCTTCTTCACATTTGGTCAAACCTTATGAACAGGTATTTCACAAGGTCAACCCCAGAGAAGGAAAGGGTGAAAAGTGTACTCAATACCTTTTTTTTTTTTTTTTTAATTTTTTATTTCTTTTAATTTTTTACCCAAGAACTCTCCGATTCCAAATCCTGGGGCAGTCGGGACTCATCCAATGAATGGGCCAGGGGGAGCCCTAGGACTTTTTTAGGGAGTGTAGTCTAGGGTGCAAGGAGCTCTGGTGGCATAGTGGGTAAGACATGTGGCTGCCAATCAGAAGGTCAGTGGTTCAAACCCATCAGCTGCTCTGCAGGAGGAAGATGAGGCAGTCTACTCCAGTAAAGATTTACAGCCTTGGAAACCCAGTGGGGGTCGCTATGAGTTGGAATTGACTTGATGGCAGTCGGTTTAGTCTAGGATGCAAGTCCCCTTTTCGACTACAGCAGCTGTCTTTGTTTATTGGGTTCATTTATTGGGCCTTTCTGTATGACTTCCTTTAAGTAAGAGATTTCTCTCTTTGTGTGTATGTGTGTGTGTAAGTTTGAAAACCACAATAACATGTGATTTGTAAGTTTAAGGAGGACAAGATTTGGCTAATGGGTTGGAGCTTGTGTTGAGAGTGAAAATTGAGCTAGAGATTTGAGGTAGGAAAGGTTTGGGGTTAACGATGCAAGTTTCTGGGTAGGAAGGGACAGAGCTAGGTTGGTAATGGAGATGAGGTGGGGGATATAGAGTTGATGGTAAATTGGGGGTGGAGTTGGTATTGGGGATGGAGTTGAGTAGAATGAGAGGGATTGGTTAATTGTGGTGGAGATTGAGATTGGGGTTGGGTAAGATATGATAGATTTGATTTTGGTGATGGTAGTGGGTTGATATTGAAAGTGGGGACTGGTAGCTTGTATAAGTGATTGAGATAGAAGATGGGTTTTGGGCTGGGGAGAAAAATGGCAGTTGAGTTCACTTTGACTAAAGGAATTAGGATGGTGTTGCTAATGCCAGTTAAGACAGAAATGGAAGAGAGTTCATAATGGGAATGGAGGTTGTAGTGAGATGTAGTTATGGTTGTGGGTAGGGAAAGAGTTGAGGTTGAAATGGACAATATGGGGGTAGAGTTGCTGGGGATGGGGATTGGGTTGAGGTGGACAGTGTGGGCTGGGCCAGATAATTTGACAACGTGATTGAGATGGAAAGTTGGTGATGAGGTTAGAATGGAAACAGGGATTGAAATGAGAACAGGGTTGGAGTTGAGTGGAGATGGGGATTGGTATGGAAGTGCAATTCAAGATGGTGATGGGCAAGAAGGGATGGACTTCAACCCTAGACTGGGAAAGCCTAACTCCATTCCATTTGGTGTCTTTGGTGACATTGACGTGACCTTACAATGGAAGGATAGTCTCCCACCCTTAGCATTTCCCTTACTGTGGAAAAGGTCATGGGTGAAGGAGAAGAGGAGCAAGCTTACCATTGCCCTTAGTGAAGTTGAAAAAGACGGGGTAGTCGCCGCGACCACTAAACTCCTCTCCCTGGTCCACAAGTGCCTCCTTCACGGCTTGGTACCCGCTGAGGACCACCACCCGCCTGGGTCCCAGGTACACTGTGTACACCGAGCCATATTTCTTGCTCAGCTGGGGGTAAGAAGACAGGTCACAGGGGGGCTTGGGGCCATGAGACACCCCTTTCTCCTCTCACCCCATCATCCATGCTTAGGATCCTGTACCTTAGTGAGGGAGGTGAGCATGTCTTGGGAGCGAAGCTGTAGCAGGTTTCCCAGGATTGGGAGGGGTCTGGGTCCTGGGGGCAGCCGGCCTTTGCCCTTTAAGCTGAGGGTCAGGTACAGATAGACAAGAGCCAGGAGCAGGAGCAAGACAACTGTGCTGACAGCATCCATGGTGAAGGCGGCTGCTGGAGTCTGGAGGGCAAAGTGCAAGAGGGCAGGGCTGGGAGGGGGCAGGGGTCCGTCCACATCTCATCTCCATCAGCACCTGCATTCCCCAGAAAGAGGCGGATGAAGAGAAGAAAGGAAATACCAAGAGGCAGACAGGGAGAGGTCAGAGGATAAGGGAGGAGGGTGGGAAGGAGAAAGAGAAGGAGAGTGAACAGAAAGCAGAGACACCAAAAACAGAGACAGAGGTGGAGAGAGACATGAAAAGATAGAAGGTTAATAAAGAGATCAGAGAGAAAGGGATGGAGCTAGAGAGACACACATAGCTAATGAAGGATTCAGAAGAGGAGGGAAATAGCTATATAACTATGGAGATTTGGAGGACCTCTGGTGGTGTAGTGGTTAAAGTATTTTGGCTGCTAACCAAAAGGTAGGCCATTCAAACCTACCAGCTGTTCTGCAGGAGAAAGATGAGGCAGTCCACTTCTGTAAAGATTTATAGTCTTGGAAACCCTATGAGGCAGGACTACTCTGTCCTAAAGGGTCATATGAGTCAGACTTGACTCAATGGCAGTGGGTTTGATTTTTTATAGATGTCTGTATGTATGTCTATTTGTCTGCCAATCATGTTTCTATTAAGAGACTGACTCTCACCCAGGACAGGACTAGAGATAGAGACACATAGGGAAGAGACAGAGTCATCAAGACACAGAGAGACAAAGGCAGAGAAAGAGAAAGTCACAGAAAGAGAGAGACGGACAGAGGCTTCCAAAAAAGATAGAGCTGGAGACACAGCCAAAGAGAGAAGAGAGAGGTGCACACTGACTTTAAGAGATTGACCTGGAGGGGGAGACACACACACACACACACACACACACACACACACGGGGGGGGGAAGGACACACACACACACACACAGAGGCGGGGAGGAGACAAAGAGGGAAGGAGGGAGGAGAAAGAGTAGAGAGAGGAGCACACTCACTGATAGAGACAGAGATGGAGAGAGGGAGAAAGAGAGAGAGACAGAGGAGAGAGAGTGATACACACTTAACTCTCATGCAAACTTCAAGAGGGAGAAAGAGAGAGAGAGAGAGAGAGAGGGAGAGTGAGTTAAAGAGACTGAGGTGAAGAGAGGGATTAACAGAGTAACAGCAAAGGAGAGCTACATGCAGAGAGAGACATGTAGACAGATAGTGAGAGAGACTGAGAGAATGAGAGCAAGCGAATGTTATACACACACAGAGATGCACAGAGACGGGGACCAAGAGAGACTGAGACAGAGGAAGGCAGTGGCAAAGGATCAAATGTTCCCAACCAACGGTCACAGTCCGGAGAGAGGTGGTACCCTCTGTGGGAAGCACCAGTACAGACCTGTGCTGCCCTGAAAATACTTGTCAAATGAACAGAGTCCCAGGGAGACATCCCATCCCCCCAAAAAGGGGGACCCAGAGACCTACCAACCCTCCGCAGAGGTGGCAAGGGAGGTTCCAAGCTAGTCTTAGAGACAGAGAAATGGAGCCAGTGACCCCATCTCTTGGGATCGCCCCTCCTCCTCTGTAACCCCCAGCCTGGGCATTTACCTGCCGAGCTGTGGGGGCAGACAGCCGAGGCCTCTCCAGATGTGCTCAGCAGCTCTGGGTGTGCCTGGGGGCAGGGGCTGTTCTTAAACTCTCTCTCTCCACCCTCACCCCCTCATTTGTTCTCCCAGAGAACCTTAATCCCCTCCCTCCTCCCCAGGATTCCTTGGGTGCAGTCCCAAGGCTCCCAGCCAGCAGGAGTGGAGCCTTGGGTGGGGGCCACATCCAGTGAGCCCTCCTTCAGTCTCCTAGAGCAGACCGACCTCAGGTGATCCGGGTGGTCATTTGCCCTGCCATGGGGCCAAGGCTTTTTGACCCATTGTTTGCCAGTCAGGGCCTTGGGCCTGATTTTTTTGGGGGGGCTCAAGTTATGAGGCGGGGTCAGGCCAGGGGTTGGGGCCAGGTATCTTTGGTGAGTTGAGCATTATATTTCCCTGGGTTCAAGTCCAATTTCTGCCACTGCCTTGGCTGTGTGGTCTTGGGCAAGTCCTTTCCCTCTCTGAGCTGGTTTTCTCATCCTCTGGGAGCCCATTTTCCATTCTCCATATGTTACGTCTCTCTGTCTCTGAAATTCTGTATTATGCTGCTTTCTGCAATCTATGCGCTGGAATCATTTTGTCTGTATCTTGGCCTCTCTGACGGTCTGTGTCTCTTGGTCTCTGTCTCTCACTCTGTTCTGTCTCTGTGTCTCTCTCTGCCCTTTTTCTTTCTCTCTGTTCTCTCTCATATCCTATCTCATATGCTATCTCTCTCCTGTCCTCTCTCCCCAAGCCCGTCTCTGCCACTTTCTCCTCCTGACTCTGCATCTCTCTCTGTCTCTCCTTTGCTTTCTGCCTGTCTTGCTTCCACCAGTCAGACTGCAGTGGGCAGGACTGAAGCCAGGCTGAGGTGGAAGGAGGGTGCAAGGGAAGGGTGGGGCAGCAGAAAGCCTCCAGGAAAGAGGACTTCAGACTTGGACAAACTCTCTCCTGCCCTCCCCACATACAGTCCCTCCTCCTGCCTCCCCAGCCCCCATCAGTTTTGTCCATTTTTGGCTCCTTCCCCAGAAACTAGCCCTTATTACTCAACTCCTGTCACGGTCAGAAAGCTGGTTGCCCAAACCTGGAGTTGGACCAGGTCTCCACGCCTGGGGTTAGGGTGAGGAGAGAGCACCTGAGGTCAAAGTTCTGAGAGGCCAGGTGGAGGTTCGGGTGTCTGCGTAAGTCCGTGGGTGCACACTGTGTTTGAGGTTCCCATGCAGGTGGGGGGAGGAAGTGCTTGGAGGTCCCGGGGAATTTGACACCCCAGGTCCCAGGTACTTGGTGAGATGAGGGTGGGGCCGATGCTGTTGTTCAAATCCTGAAAAGACTGGTTAGGGCAGGTCCTGGAAGGGTGAAGTCTCCGTTATGGGATTACAAACCTATGCTTTTCCTTGGCATTTGCCCCCACTTCTTGGGGAAGGCAGCACAACCCTGAAAGTTATTTCTTCTTGACCGTGGAACTGATGGAACCATTGCATCCGGGAACCCGGGATTCATGAGACATTTTAAGGGGCTTCAGAAGTCCTTGCAGCCCTAACTTGGGCCAAGAGAGGACTTCATTGTAATATTTCTGTTTTTTGTTTGTTTAATTATGATTATTATTTATTAACTTTTTTTTGAGATTTGGGTGAAAATTTACAGAGTAAATTGGTTTTCCATTCAGCAGTTTACACATAGTTTGTTTTGTGACATTGATTACAATTCCCAGAATGTAACAGCTCTCTTCCCTGTGTCCTTCTTTCCTATGCATTCTTGCCCTCTGAGATTTCTCCTGTGCAAATGCTGCCTTTCGAATCTTCCATGGTTGATTGTTCTAAAGAGTACACCATCCTGGTATAATTGTTCATCTTGTAGTCCTGTCTATTGTTTGCCTGGAATGTAAGCTAAGGGAGTGAGTCGATTCCAGGCCTGAAGGGTGACTAGGGGCCACAGTCTTGGGGGTTTCACTACTCTCTGTCAGACCAGTAATTATGATCATTTTAATAATTTTGAAGTTTGTTCAACAATCTTCTCCCACTTTAGCCAGGATCTCCAATTTTGATCTCTTTTCAAGTGGTTGACAGTGGTAGCTGGGTACCATCTAGTTCTTGTGGTCTCAGGGTCATACAGGCTGAGGTTCCCATGGTCCATTAATCCCTTGGACTAATTGTTTCCATGCATCTCTGATTTTCTTCATTCTTCTTTGCTCCGGATGAGGAAAGACCAATTATTGTATCTTAGATGGCTGCTCACAAGCTTT